GGAAGGAAGGACGGCGAGTGGAGGGCTAGAGGGTGACGGGGGCGGAGGGAAGGTTAGAGCCACCTGGCTGAATGAGGGTCGCTGCGGAGGTGGAAGCCCTGATGGGAGCCAGGAGGCCTTGCCTCGGCCGGGTGGGTCCGCGCCGGGGGCAGTCGAGCCTGGCACTGGGCCGTCGCTCACCGCCCCTGCCCGCAGACACTGGCCGCCGTGCTGACCGCGCTGCCCAGGAGCAGTCCGGCCGAACTGACCATCTCGGCACTCAGCCTGGCGCTGCTCGTGCCGGTCAAGGAATTGAACGTGAGATTCCGAGACAAGCTACCCACCCCGATCCCAGGGGAAATCGTCATGGTGAGGATGGCTCCGGGGTCCGGGGGCCCCCTGCACCGCACAGACCCTGCCCATCCCGTAGGAGCTGCCCGCTGCCGCCCCCTGGTGGAATGCAGCGAGCTTACAGATGAGAAGTCCTGCGCATCCGTGTCCCTTTCCAGGCCTCTTCCCAGAACATTTTGACCCTCCGGAATTCCCCAACCACACGGTCCCATTTCTCGCACGAAGCCTCTTCGGGACCTCTTAGAATGCCTTCTTCCTGCTTACAGCGCTCCCTTGCGGTGTCGCCCGCCACAGCACATCCACTCACATCTCTCCCCTCACCCGGCCCTTCACTGTTCACGGTTTCTCTCCCTTCCCACGCCCACTACATTTCTCTCTCTCCCCAACTGAATAAGTGTTCCGCGTCTCCAACCACACGCCATCTATGCCTAGATATAGCCCAGCTCTCCTACTTAGAATGGCTCGGTATACTTCCTGATATCCACGATCCCTCCTGGGAGCCCCTATTCCTTCCTCCGGTCCATCTCTTTCCATAACCTTGGGTAGGCCTCATTCCTCTTTCCCATCCCCACCGCCCTCCACTCTAAACGGGCTGTCAGGCACCCATCCCAAACACATCCCAGCGCCCCCAGGGGCTGAGCCTCTGCAAACCCCTAACAGCTGCCTTAGGATCCTCTCTCCTGTGAAGCTTTTTCTAGCCTCAGCCGGGAAGCCCATCTCCTGCCATGCCCTGATTTGCTCTTTCCCAGGTGCTTCTGGCCTCTGTGCTCTGCTTCACCTCTTCCCTGGACACAAGATACAACGTCCAGATAGTGGGGCTGCTGCCTAGAGGGTAAGGGAATCAAGACACCAGACTGCTCTTCTCCCACTTCTCCCACCCAACACTTCCTCTTGATGCGCCCCACCCTGTTTCCTCTGTCTTCCCCATATCCTTCTTAGACCCAACGCATCCTCACCCTGGATCCCTCTCTCTCCAGATTCCCCCAACTCCACCTCCCCAACCTGGCTGCGCTGCCCAGGCTTCTGGCCGACTCGCTGCCCGTGGCACTGGTCACTTTTGCTGTGTCCGCCTCCCTGGCCTCCATCTATGCAGACAAGTATAGCTACACTATTGACTCCAACCAGGTGTGACTCTGCCTGAGGACCCCAATACATTCAGGAGACACCCTCTAATCTGATGTTCCTCCTTCCCCCCATGCCCTTGTCTCTCTCCTCTTCATCTCTCACTGCGTCCCTCCAGGAGCTCTTGGCCCATGGTGTCTCCAACCTCATCTCCTCCCTCTTTTCCTGCTTTCCCAACTCTGCCACACTGGCCACCACCAGCCTACTCGTGGATGCTGGTGGGAACACACAGGTAAGAGCATGTCTTTGGGTGAAGAGAAAGGGGGGTGCGTATCCAGGTTGGGGTGGTGGTGGAGAAACAGGTGGAGGATTGGTAGATACCCAGAGGGCAGCCGTATAGAGGAGGATAGGAGTCTGTGAGGCAGAGTGAGGGGGTGGGAGTTTCTGATAGGAGAGATAGAAGATAACAAAGCTCCTTTAAGACCTTTGTGGACTCTAAGCACTGAAAAAGTTTACGGTGCCCCACATGTAGCTCAAAATAAAAACAAAACTGGACTGTAAAATAAATTTGAGAGACAAACTTCTGATTCCCCGCCCCCCAAACGGGGACATTTTCTTTTGAAAAGAAATATCACACATGAAAGTCTCCCCCTAATATTTCTGGTTTCCTACTCTGCCAGTCCCCTAAGAATGTGGTGAGCGTGCTTTTAGGGTAATCCAACAGTGGCTTTTAAGATGGACACGGGCTACAAAAATAAGGAAGTTGAACTACATCTAGGTAAGAGACTGGAGAATGAGAGGCATTTCATTGGGAGAGGGTAAAGGTAGGTGTGAGAGGCAGAATAGCAAGAAGGGAGTGGGAGACTGAGGAATATCTTCATGGAAGGGGATTTGGGAGGAGGGAGACTTCCAAGGAAGGTGAGGCAGAGTGGGCAGGGCGGCCAGCTCTCACACAGGGGTGGATGAGGTCCCCTTGCTTCTCTGCTTCCATCCCTCCTCCTTTCTAGCTGGCAGGCCTCTTCTCCTGCATAGTCGTCCTCTCGGTGCTGCTGTGGCTGGGGCCCTTCTTCTATTATCTGCCCAAGGTAAGGAACAGAGGAGGTATGGGGGTGGCTGGGAGGGCTGGCTCTATTCCAGGACATTGGGGCAGTCAGCTTGTCTCCTCTGCCCCAAGGCTGTCCTGGCCTGCATCAACATCTCCAGCATGCGCCAGATGTTCTTCCAGATGCAGGAACTTCCACAACTATGGCGCATCAGCCGCTTGGACTTTGTGAGAAGTGGCAGGATTACCCCAGATTGCCCCCTCCCATTTCCCAGCATCCCCAGCTTCTGCCCTGGTTTGCAGCTAATTGTCCTGGTCCTAAGTTCTGTAGTCCCCCCACTCTGCCCCCCTCAACATGCATACCTTCTAATCCCATTACTCAGACACAAGGTAGAGGGTGGGGTTTGAACCCCTTCAGGCCTGAATATTTGTACCTCCCCAGCTGGTGCAAGGTCTGGGGTCATTACATTTGGTGTATACCCCCTGTTGGGTCAGTCCTGTCCCCTCCTCCTGTCATTCTTTCTACCTTCTCCTGGGCCATCCCTCCCTATCGTTTGCCTTGGCCAGCACCGCCTGTGGACCTCTTTACCTAGCAGTGATCGCCTGGCATTTCACTCCCGCCCCTGTCCTGCAGGCTGTATGGATGGTCACATGGGTGGCCGTAGTGATCCTGAGTGTGGACCTGGGCCTGGCCATTGGTGTGGTCTTCTCCATGATGACTGTGGTCTGCCGCACCCAGAGGTGGGAGGAGAGATGAGAGGAGTTGGGAAGAGCGGTGGGGAGAGAACAGGTGCCTGGAGTGACTCTCCAGCCAGGTCAGGCTGGGAATCTGACCCCAGCTTCCTGCCCAGGGTGCAGTGCCTGGCACTTGGACTTGCCGAGGGGACGGAGCTCTACAGACCACTCAGAGAGAGCCACAAGGTGGGTGGGCTACAGATGAAGAGGGAAGGGAAGACTAGACCCGGGTGTTTTTCTGACCCTCTGCCCTCTTAGCTCCTCAAGGTCCCGGGGCTCTGCATCCTGAGCTATCCATCACCGCTCTACTTTGGGACCCGTGGGCAGTTTCGCCGTAGCCTGGAGTGGCACCTGGGGCTTGGAGAAGGAGGCAAGGTGAGAGACCTGGTCAGAGGGGAGTGTGGCTTCTCTGGGCGAGGGAGGCGGGTGCGTCTTCTGAAGGGGCGCACGTTCATGCTTGTGTCTTGGAGATGGTAACTGCCCTTCTCTACTCACAGGGGGCTCCAAAGACAGATAGCCCACCTGATGCAGGTGAGACGGGGTGACAAGGAGGGAGACTTGGGCGCGACCCGCGGGGGCGTCCGGCTACCCCTGTCTTCTCCCATCCTAGTTGCTGAGCCCGTCAGAGTGGTGGTCCTAGACTGCAGTGGTATCGCCTTTGCAGATGCTGCTGGAGCCAGAGAAGTGCTACAGGTGAGGGGCAGGGTAGGTTGAGGAGAAAGTCCCCTTAGTATCCCATGCATTCCCTCTGACGTAGGATTTGACCCCCTGCCCCATCTCCACAGCTGGCCAGCCGATGCCGAGATGCTGGGATCCACCTTCTCCTGGCTCAGTGTAATGGTGAGAGGTGTGGAGGCTGGAGGGACCTGGAGCCTGGGGAATGACCGGACACTTGGGGGAGGGAAAAGGACACGGTGTGGATTTAAGAGCTAAGAACCTGACCCGCCTCTCTACACAGCCTCAGTGCTGGGGACACTGACCCAGGCAGGACTCCTGGACAGAGTGACCCCAGAACAGCTGTTTGTTAGTGTCCAGGATGCAGCTGCTCATGCCCTGGAGAGACTGGTGAGGGGGCAATAGCAACAGGAGTGAAATCCAGGAGGTGCTGGGCTATAGCAGGTCACATGTGAGTCAGTGGCTGAGGACCTAGGCCGAGGGTTTTGGGCAGGGGACTGAGAAGGAACCTAGAGGAGGGAGGGGGGATGAAATGATGAGTCAATGTAAGGCGAAGCCAGGGAGATGGGGCCCAGCTCTGCATGAAGAGCTGAGGAGCTAAGGTTTCAAAGTGGGGTGGTGTGCCCCTCAGAGGGCTGCCAAATGCTGAGTGAGGGAGGACGGTACCTAAGCTGTCCCTGACACGTTCCCCTCTCTTTTCCAGGAGCCTACTGGTCCAAAGACTTGCACAGTGTGGGTCTGACCCAGTCATCTGGAGTGTGGAGGGCCCCAGCAATATGTGTGTGTGGAGTCCCCTTACTTCATGTAACTAATAAAATAAAGCTGAGAGCCTCTGGGGTTCATGAAGTGAGCCTGGGTGTCCGCACACTGAGCCCTGGTGCCCCTTTCTCCATGCCCACAGCACTGCAGACACAACTAAAAATGGCTTTCACTTGTGTGTTCACCAGCCCTCACCCCAGCTCCAGAGTCACCAGTTCTCTCCATGGGGTGGAGGAGGGGGTTGGGGCTGGAGCCTATGCACAGAGTCCTCGGTCCAGAGATGAGGGAGAGGGGCACAGCCCTGGGAACACACGTGGGGGGGCTTCCCCACCCCCTCAGTCCCAAGGAGATGAGAGGAGAGTATTTCCACTTTAGGTTCTTAGAGTCCCCATGGGCTCTTTGGCACTTGGAAAGTTGACACCCCCCCCCCACTTCCTGCCCCATGAGAAGGAGGCAGGGGGAGGACTTGGCACTGGCTGTGGGACGAGTTATGGCTCCATCACGTCCCTAACCCTGGGCACTCGCAGAAAGGAGGAGTGTCACCAGAACAAGCCCCTATTTGGGATCAGATTCTGAAGGGGATCAGGGACAGTCAGTGGAGTGGTCACCGGATGGTGGGGTTTGCTAGAAATTCCTGGGATTTTCTAGAAATTCCTGGCAGGGAAAAGGAGGCAGGCCCAGCCTGACAGTTTGAAGGCCCCTAGTGGCCATCATTCCGAGGTCATGCACTGCAGCCGGTGTTTGAAGAAGAGTAGGCGATGTTTGGCCACCTGACTTTCATCCAGTGATCCTGGGTAACGGTACCGAGCGTAAGTCTCTGCCCCCACATCCCTTGATGTCCAAGGCAGCTTCAGCTTAGATGCATGATCCACAACGACGTCTGAGCAGGAGCCCACTCGAAGGGAACCAAGCCCATCCAGGAAGAATTCTGGGGGGGGGGGCGGGGGTAAGGGAGTACACAGTGAAAGGTCTGAAGCTTATAGAAGGCCAACCCTTAAGGGAGAACTGAGATTTGGGGTGTGGAGGGTGCACAGGCAAGGACCCCGTTTCTGAGGGCCTTGGGCTAGTAATTAATTCTTGGGGCTCTTCTGTAAAATAGAGTCAACGTACTTACCTTGTGCTTTGATAAGGTACCCTCCTCCCCACCTCCCCAACACACACCTAAAGGTTCAATAGATACTGAATGGGCTGCTCCAGGAGTGTGGTCTGAACCAGGGGAAGCGGCTAGGAGTGGAGTAAAGGGGGCGGGGACAGTGGTGGGGCAGTTAAAGGTGGACCCAGTGGCTGTGCTGGGCGTGGAGGTTTAAATGGTGTACGGGCCGGGAGGGTGGGAGCTCTGTCTCTTGCCAGGGCGCAGATCTTGGTAAATCTTCGCAGAACTGCCCACAAGGGTCCTGGGTGCCAGCCGTGGGCTCCACGGGAGGAGGTGGGGGGTGGGCGTAGGAGTAGCGGTACCTTTGGAGCCTCGCCCAGCGCGCCGCCCCCCACCCCGCCACCCCGGGGTCCCTGCTGGTCCGGGCCGGACCGGGAGGGGGCGCCACTCACCGAGATGCGCCACGCGGCTGAGGCGTGGGTCGAAACCGACCTCGCGCACCTTGTCGGTGCGCGCCAGGAAGAAGTTGACCACGCCGTCCGTGACCACGCAGCCTGGAAAGCCGACGAGCTCGTGGTGGAAGCCGCGCCTTTGCCGGAGGCAGTTCCCGCGGCCCGGCGCGCCGGGCTCCACGCTCAGCATTTGCCGGTAGGTGGTGGCGAAGCCGGAGATCTCGCGCACAGCGCCGCCGACCTGCGGGGAGTGGGAGGACGGCTCCAGGCGGGACGGGGAGTGTCGGGGGGTGGGGGCTAGATCTGTGCCCGCTCCCCGGGGCGGTTCCCCTGCCCCGTCCTCCTCTGCTCCACCCCTGCAGGACCCGGACTGTCCCCCAGGCTCCGCCGCGTCGTCCTCTGTCCGGCCCAGGGCCGTCCGCCCTCGCCCGGCTCTCCCCCGCCGCTGCCTCAGCCTGCTGGAGGCCCTCCTCCTCCCACCCCACGTCCTGCGGGCCCTCCCCTACCAGGTCCAGCGGCGTCCGCTCCAGCACGTCCACAAGCCTCTCCAGCCGCGTCCGCGCCGTGAAGACGAAGTCGTCGTCCACCCACAGGACGTACTTGGTGGTTACTTGGGATACGGCCAAGTTCCGGCCTGCGAACCAGCCCTGGGGGAAGGGTATACATGGTTAGTGAGTCTGTAGAGATAGGACGCAAGCCCTCTGCCACCTTTCATCCTCTCTCCTGACGCCTCTAAACGGTCCAGTGCCCACGAATGGCTCAGAGCGAGGTAAAAAGTGCAGTTTCCCACTGCCAGGCGTTCTGAGTCAGTGTTCCGGGAGGTGTTAGAACGCGTTTAACTCATGCGTGCACCCATTCATTCATTCATTCACCTATTTATTGAGCGCTCCCTAGGTGCTCAGCACATTCTAAGAATGCAGTACGAATAAGATAGGCACGATTCCTGTCCCACGGAGCTTACGTTCCAGGAACTGCCATGCCTAACAGGCACCCCGGTAATTCTGAAATTACAGGTAGGTAGTCCTGGGATCACTACTCTGGAGACTTCAGACTGAGGGCGCGCCCTGTGGCGCGCGGTTCAGCCTCGCTGGCTGCGCACCTTGCCAAAAGGCATGAGATAGTGCTCGATGTGGGGGCCGCTAATGCTCTCTGGCTTGTCGCTGTCGTCGGCGATGACCACGGTGACCGTTGGGTAGAAGCGGCGGATGCTGGCGATGAGTGTCCGTAGCCGATTGTAACGCAGGAAGGTCTTAGTAGCGATGGTGACCAGGGCGCTGATGTTGTACTGGGCTGGGAGTGAGGGAGAGGGTTAGGTGCAGAGAACGAGAGTGGGAAGTGAGGAGCAGGAAGACGTCTTCTCCCAGGGCCTCCCTCTTCCAGCTTCTCCCCACCAGACCTGGATTTAGGTCCTAGCGCGCACCAGCCTCACCTCCCTGGGGTAGAGACCCAGATGGGTACAGCCGAGGGTTGGGGGGGTGTCTTATGCGGATGGTAAAAGCAGCCTCATGTCCCTCCGTGGAGAACCGGACTGGGAAGAAAGGACACAAGCCATGGTCCTTAGGGCTGGGATAACATTCCCTTTTCAGTAAATCAGTATTTAAGTGCCTACTCCTCCTGGGCCTGGTGGACAAGAATGCAAGGTTTTTACCTCCATGGCACTAACATTCTAATGGGTGGGAAAAGAAAATAAAAGATTTAATTTAAAAAAGAGATTTAGTGCTCGCTTCGGCAGCACATATACTAAAAAAGAGATTTAATGAAAAGCTAACGTTTATTGAGCATTTACTATGGGCAGGTACTTTTTAAGTTACCTTAAATATAGGAACTCATTTAATCTTCACAAGCCCTATTAAGTAGATTCCTACTACAGAAGAAGGCATAGAGAAGTTAAGTAACTTGTCTCTATTTACACAACTCTTAAGCAACACAACCGAGATAGGAACCTAGTCAGTCTGGTTCCAGGCTAAATAAATAAAATTCAGATACTGGTGAGCATTGAAGAGAAAGTAAAACAAGTAATGTGATAGTGAAAAGGAGACATTTGAGCTGAGATCCAAATGACAAGAAGGATCCAGCCATGCAAAAATCTGGGGGAAGAGCATTCTAGGCAGAGGGAACAGCAAGCGCAAGGGCCCCAAAGTGGGAGCAGGTTTGGTGTGGCAAGTCTTGGAGAGAAGCAGGAGGGTTGTGTTTTGCCTCGTTTGCTAGAGGAGAAATGGGAGCTCTGGGAGATAAAGTCCCCTGCCCTCCAGTAAGTGGTGGGTTGGGAATAGAGCTCAAGTCTTCTGGCTCCTGGGGCAGGTCACTTCCTGGGGCTCCCACAGTTGGCCTGCAGGGGGGACACACCCAAAGCTCGGGTTTCCCTTTGGCCTGCTCTGGCCCCAGATGAACAAAGGCCCCTTCTCTCCCTCCCTGGTCCTGCTGGCCTAGCTGAAATGCCCATTGTGTGACTGGGTAGCTCTGGCCATTGCCCGAGTGTCTCCCACACCCTCTGCCATTTGCCCGCTCCAGCCTTTCTGGGCTCTCTGTTCAACCAGCCTGCCCCTGCCTCTGCCCAGGCCTCCCACCTGTGTCTGCTGTGTTTGCCTGGTAGCTTCGGCTGCTATAAGTGACCAGTTGAAGCTGCCGGTTGAGTTGGTCCAGCCCTGGGCTGGTGAGGGTGAGATCTGGCTGCCCCTCTCCAGTGAGAGTCACTCCAGTCACTTCCCCTGCCACATCCCAGGTGCCTAAGGAGGCGGTCAGGTTCACCTGGGAGAGGGGTTGGAGAGTACAGGGTTAGACCTCGGACCCGCCTCTTGCCTCCCTGGTTCCTCCATCGCTCCTTTGGCAGCCGGGGTCTGCCTCCAGCATGCACCTGGCCTTCCCAGCCTCATTTCCGCTTACCTGGTAAAGCTCCTGACCAGAAGCTGCCTGCAGGCTCAGCCCTGGGAGGAAGGAGAGGGAGTCAGAATCACAGACAGCCTTGAATTCTTCTTCCCTTTCTCTTCTCTCTTTCACCACACACAGCATGGACCTTCTCACCCATCCCTCTTTGTTGAGGCCACGGCAGGGCACATGTGGGTCGCAGCCTAGAGTAACTGATTTTTTACTCCTTCCCATCAAAGCAGTAGCTCTTTATGGCCTGCCCCACCTATCCACCTGATCTTTGGTCAGTCAGCAAAGAAGAGATTTGTTTCCCCAAACCTCTCCAGTGACAGGCTTCTGCGATTCCAGACAACCCTAGAGGCCCTTCTGTCCTCACCTCCCACCTCATGAGCCCCCTTCTGATCCCAAGTCCCCCTTTCATCAGAAGTCCCCCACTTCCCTTTCCAATCTTCCTTCATTCTTCCTCAGCCAACCTTGAGCTCTGCCACCCCCACGGTGGCTTAGGTCATCTCCTAGGCCCGTTCTCCCCACCTGGCACCAAGATGCTCCGGAGGGGCTGGACCTCCACACCTTGCAGGGGGTACTGAAGAGGGGAGTTGGCAGGGGCTATGAGCAGCTGGTCCGCAGCAGACTGGCTCCTGGCAAGGGAGGACAGTGCAGGAATCAGGGGCAGAGGAGCTCTCCTTCCAGTCACACCCACCCTCCGGGCCTCCCCCTGCAAAGACACGCCCTCCTTTCAAGATGGTACCTGGAAAGGAAGGCCTGGAACTCTTGCTCCCTGGAGGCTGAGGCAGCCCTCAGCTCCTCAGGGTCAAAGGCCTTGGTGAAGTCAATGGCTCCAACCTGCCTCTGGAAGGGTAGGTAAAGGCTCCCTCCACTGGACTCACAGCTACAGTTGTTCCCAGAGAGCTGCCTGGAGGGAGGACGAAGGGTCATCAGAGCCCAGCCATACAACTCCATTCACCCCACAGAACATTTACACAGCGCCCCACACCTTGGCTTTTCAATCCTGCCCATCCAGTGTCTGTCCCCTTAAACACTGCTCTTCAAATAGTCCCCAGGAGGAGAGACCACCAGTGGCATGACTCAGCTCCTAAATCTGAATTTTACAGAGGTGTAGAACAGGGTCAATTGCTAGAATTTCAGAGTTGCCTACCCACCATTCAGGACCCCACCTGGACACTCCTTTCATGGGGAGTCATCAGGACATCAGGAAGTCTTCCAGGGCCCTCCTCTGCCTGCACACCCTCCCCTCCACATCACCATGACAAGGTTCAGGGAGGAGAGAGATTTTTTCCCCCAGCCCAAGACTCAGAAACTACCCCCGCCCCCCCGCCTCACCCCCACTCCCCAGCTAGTCAGGAGAACCCAGAGATCAGAGCTCAGCAGTGCAGGAAACAAAAGCTCCCCAGTCACCCCCAGCGAGTTCCGCTCTGCCGCCGCCACCCCCGGCACTCACCCCACCACTTGCTCCTTGATCCTGACCGGGATGTGTGCATAGCGGGGCTCGGGCGCAAGGTCTGGCAGTTCTGGTCTTGGGGGGGCCTGCAGGGGCGCCCACAGCGCAAGAGGTGCCCGGAGGCCCGGCGCGTCCCGGGTGCTCACGTACAGGAGCCCCAGCGAGGCGCAGGCGAGCAGCAGGACCAGCACACAGAGGGCCCGGCGGCCCAGCCGCATCCTGGTGGACGGTAGGGGTGGGAGGGTGAGAAAGGTGTGGAGGGGAGGCGTGGGCTGGGACCCCTCGAGCCCCGCGGTTCTGGAGGCTCCTGCCAGCTTCCCGGGACGCTCGCCACATCTCGGCGCGCTAGGATTTGCACAGCGAATCGTTCCCCTGGCCCTCCTCCCTTCACTGCCCGGGCCCCGGGTCTCCCGGCCTCCTTTCTTCTCGCCTTCTCCCGCATCTCGGTTTCCTCTCACGCCCGAGGCCCGGCATGTTGATGCAAGAGACCGCTGGATGCGGTGCTTTCCTCGCGGCCGCCAATAAGTAGGAGTGCACGGCTTTCTTAGGGCAGCGGGCGTCCCCAGTCCCGCCGCCCCCCGCCCTGGCCCGCGTGTCCCCCACCCCTCGGTCCGAGCATCACCTGGCCCCCGGTGGGCTGCACAGGGCGGCTCCACACCTTGCCTGTCATGAAAAATGCAGAATCACGCCCGCACTGTTGGGTGCCCCCGGCGGAGGTGACCGCGCGAGTGGCCTCGGGAAGCTGTGCGGGGGACCGGGGGGACCCGCGAGCGCGCCGCCTCCCGCCTCCAGCTCGGCCCCTCATCCCGCCCGGGCACTGACCTGTCTAACGCTCTAAGGCCGCCACAAGATTTCAGTTCGGGCTGCTCCAGGCTCTCAGCCCCGGCCTGGGGGTCTTCATGCGGCTGGAGGCGGCCTGATCGGGGAGCCGGGCGTGAGCCTGTGCCGTGGGGATCCTCCTGCCTCCCGGGCTCGCCCAACCCCTCCCGCCTTCGGACGCTCCGGGCTTTGTAGACCACAGCGCGGGGTGGTTCTGGGCGTTTCCTGCGCGGGGGGATGGGGGTGGAGAACGGAGTTGAGAAACCGTGCATCCCAGCCCCAGAAACAAAGCCGGGGCTCCCCGGCACCCTGTCCCACTTGCCGGGAGGGGAGGGCTCAGGCCGCCGCCGGGTTGTTCGGATCGCTGCGCCGCGCGGCTCGGCTCGGCTCCCGGGCTCGTCGCGGCGGAGGCTCGGGCTACGCGCGGGGAATGCGAGCGCCCGGGCGCCTTCTGGTGGGCGCAGAGGACATTGCGGGGGCGCCTCGAGAAGGTCCTTCTCCCGACCCTCCCAGCCCTTCGCCTGCAAACCTGGCGTCTCAAGGGCCTGCCCTCATCCCAGTCTATGCCCTAGTCGCACGGAGCCTCCCTCTCATCGAGGCTGTAACAGGATAGGGAATAAGGGCTTTGGGAGGCGATGGGGTGGGGGCGCCCTACAACCCCATTCCAAGGAAGGTTTGGGTAGTTAGGGTGAGATAAAAGAAACCAGACTAGATCCTGGAAAATAAAGATTTTGCCTGGCTAACAAAGACAGGTTCACACCCTCCCTCCCATCCTCGCCTCCCCCGCAACACTCCCACCCCAATCATCTAACAAAGACTCGAGAAGTAATACAAAGGCCTGCTTCCCGAAACTGCTCCTCGTTGCAGATGCTGGAGGAAGTGGCTAAGTTGGCTGTAATTCTGCATGCAAGCCTTAGACCCATAGACTCTCTTCCCTACAGCAGGATTCAGGACACTACCCAAAGTCCTGTGGTTCCATGGTTCTAATAAAAGATGTATCAAAATCTAATAGGGAAAACAAGACACAATAAGAAATGTAGAACGTAATGAAAACGCGGGGGGGAGAGGAGGATGGATTGTTGAATGAATTGTATACAAAGAACTGACTAAGATGAGGGGAAAGTGGGATTCTCAGCTCTTTACACCAAAATAGATTCCAGATCTATCAAATATTTTAATATTAAAAACAAAACCAGAAAAGTAGTAAAGGAAATCATGGAGTTTTTGTGTTTTGTTTTGTTTTTTACAATCTTGGAGTGGGGGAAGAGATCTCTAAGCAAGATATAAAGGGAATAGCCTGTACCTCTGAAACAAATAATACATTATATATTAAAAAGAAGAAGAAGAAGAACAAGAACAAGAACGAGAAGGAGAAGGAGAAGAAGATAGCAGGAGGGGAAGAATGAAGGGGGGGAAATCGGAGGGGGAGATGAACCATGAGAGATGATGGACTGAAAAACAAACGGAGGGTTCTAGAGGGGAGAGGGGTGGGAGGATGGGTTAGCCTGGTGATGGGTATTAAAGAGGGCACATTCTGCCTGGAGCACTGGGTGTTATATGCAAACAATGAATCATGGAACACTGCATCAAAAACTAATGATGTAATGTATGGTGATTAACATAACAATAATAATAAAAAAGATATAAAGGGAATAGTAAAAACTTGTCTATATAAAAACCATGAGTGAAGGAATTTCTATAAACAAACTTGAGATAAATGACAAACTGAAAAGAATCTTTCCAACATGTAAGACAGATAAAGGTCTATTTTCCTCAAGAGCTGTAAAACATCAATAAGAAAAAATGATCAACTACCCCAAATGGACAAAAATCAGGATTAGGCAGTTGACAGAAAAAGTGAAAATGACTTTTAAATATATGCAAGTATATTTGATCTTATTCATAATAAGTGAAATGCAAATTAGAACAACAGTGAAATTTTTATTTTTTAATTTTTTTTTAAAGATTTTATTTATTTGAGAGAGAGAGAGAGAGCACGAGCAGGTGAGGAGCAAAGTGAGAGGGAGAAGCAGACTCTCCGCTGAGCAGGGAGCCTGATATTGGGCTCAGTCCCAGGACCTTGGGATCATGACCTGAGCCGAAGGTGACGCTTAACAACTGAGCCACCCAGGCGCCCTATTTTTTAATTTTTTAAAGATTTTATTTATTTGAGAGAGAGAGAGAGAGCACGAGCAGGTGAGGAGCAAAGTGAGAGGGAGAAGCAGACTCTCCGCTGAGCAGGGAGCCTGATATTGGGCTCAGTCCCAGGACCTTGGGATCATGACCTGAGCCGAAGGCAGATGCTTCACTGACTGAACCAACTAGGTGCCCCAACAGTGAAATTTTTTAAACAAAATTATTGCAATATTATTGATTATATATTCCCTATGTTGCACTTTTTATCCCTGTGAATTATTTGTAACTGGAAGTTTATACCTCTTAATCCTTTTCATCTATTTCACCTATCCCCCCACCCCCTGAAATGTTTTTTGATTACCAAATTAGTGAAGGTCAAGGTGTTTGCTAACACATTGTATGGTCAAGTATGTGGAGAAACAGCTTCTGCATACATTGTTGTGAGTGTAAATTGATACAACTTAGGAGAGCAATTGGCAAATCTCTTAACATTTAAAATGTTAATCACTTAAATTGTAAATATTAATCATTTAAAAATTTAAAGATATGGCTCCGTCAGACAATGGGGTACCGGGTTAAACTATACCTACTGATACTGAATGATTTCCAAAGTTGCTAAGCAAAAGCAAGCAGATTCTGAACAGCATATATAATTGGCTCCCATGTGTGGGTTTTAGCTTCTGGGCTTGGCCAAAGCCTGGATATGAGGTGCTTCCATAACAGAAACCCGACACTGTGGGAGTGGCTTTGGAACTGGGTCTTGGCCGAAGCAGGAAGGGAATTTGAGGAGTGTCAGTGAAGATCAAGAAACATTGAAGAGGGCGCCTGGGTGGCTCAGTTGGTTGGGCGACTGCCTTTGGCTCGGGTCATGATCCTGGAGTCCCGGGATTGAGTCCCGCATCGGGCT